GATTCTGATTAGAGTATATAAAAAAGGAAAATAATATTTTCCCATACCCAATTAAATAGTATTTTTTCCATTTAAGCACTATTATTTATTCAAACTCATCTTGATGGTATATTACAGACACATTCAGAGCCAAACTGTAACAAAAAAGAAACTAAGTAGTCGAACCTATGAATATAAGTTGAATTTTGAGGTACAAAAAGGGCAAATTCATACATATGATGCACTGACACACGCATTTTTTTCTTCAGCGTGTTGAAACAAAAAAGATACCAACGACTGGAAAAAAAATACAAAGTTTTTCATCCACTTACTATGTTTCTTTCAAGTGTCTTCTTGATTTAACGAAACGAAATCCACTAAAAGATTGTGTCTGCCCTTTTTTTTCGTATAGTAGATGTAGAAACACAAAAACACACAATGTACTTTACTCAGTGCTAAAAGTAGAATGAAAATCAAAATCAACAGCATCAGCTACAATTCACAGCTTCCTATGGAGTTTTTGTCTGATTGTCCGACAGACTGTTTGCGTGTGTCTGTCTGTCCGTCCTTCCTTCAGTCTGTCGGTATGTGTTTATCTTATAAAAATATGCGACATGCATATGAATTTATGAGTTATGCTTCCACAAATACTATATGAATAAAAAAAAAACATAAATAAATAAAAATCAAAATGATTCGGCGAAAGTGAAACATCCATACCCGTGATGGCTGCAAAAGAAAAGGAAATAAACTTTCTTGATTTCAACTTGATTTATCAATGGATGTGAGTAAAAGTGTTTAAATTTCCTTGTGGCTTATTGAGTGTGTGTGTGTTTGGGTTTCCCCTTTTTCTTTGTAGAGGGTGTTAGAATTTACAGTTTATGCTACAAATATTAAAATGGCTCAAATTTCTGATATCATCTTGTCGTTGATTTATGTTTATATACACATGATGTAGATTAGAAACCACACATGTGAATAATTTGTTTTTTTAATAAAAAAAGTTTAAAAATATCTTAAAGATAAGATAATTTTTGTTTTCATTGAATAACTTGAGTGCTAACATTGGGGGGCCAAGACACCTACTGGGTTAGTTGGTTGACAGCTTGAGAAATTTTTGCTTGGCCAATAACAAAAAAATGCTATAAAGGTGATGTGCGACAATGTTTAGATGTTTTTAATCATTTCGTGGAATCTTGGTGGGAGTGGTAACGATTGTGAGGAGGAAATGTGGATATACTAAATTTATATATGAGTTTGTTTGCGCAGATAAATAAAAGATAACTAATAATAGAATGTTTGTTAAAAAGTAAAAATATTTCTTTAATAAACAGTTTTCACTTTCAGGATTAACTTCATTAAATCCCAGCCTTCATTCAAATATAATCAAACACATTTTAGAAGAACTCGAGAATTTTAAATAATAATCTCCAACTAAAATGTTATGCGAACAATCAACTATTCGGAATCTATTGTGATGGAGAAAGAGAGCCTCATATATAATTGACTTGACATCTGCAGTACTATCATCAAGGGTCGTTATAGTTTTGTTAATTAACGATACGATTATTGTTGCTTAACTCTTAGCGATCCAATGAAATACGAGTCCCCTAATAGACATACAGTTGGATTCAATAATTTCAATACCTGAAATAAGTTCGTATTTATTGTCTGATGTCGATTCCTGAAAGATCTGTTAGATCGTATATAATGTAGCTGACATTCGCCTTGATTTAACTTTCTTCCAGGTCCGGGCTGTGACAGAGTAAGTGAAAAAAGTGTTTTCTTTGTGTAGTTATAAATGTCAAAGAAACTGAATAACACTTTTCTCTTCCTTGTAAAAGTTCGAACGTACAAGAAGTCGTGGAAACCTGGCAAACGCCCTATTTCACGGTGTTACTTTTTCAACCACAGCGTGAGTTAGATATAACTCATCGTCGATTTTTTGTACACATAGACAGTAATTTTTGTACATGGTTCCTCTGGTCCATTTACAAGCACTTTGCTAGCATACTCTGCCAATTGTTGATCCGTTGCATAACTTCCGAGATGCAAAAACATCACTTCGCCTTACAACCAGATAAGATGGTCTCTGCCAATTTGGCATCAGCATCTAGAGACGTAATCGGTGGACCAAAATACTAATCCATCAAATTAGTCAAAGATAAATTCTTACAGAGAATACGCTGTGGTAAATGTGGAATGGACAGAACCCTGATATATCCGATATATTTATTAAGAAAACATCTGACACATTCATTCTAGGTATAAGGGTGAAGTAAGGCCATATACCTCTTTGTTCATTCTGTATCTTATGCATTTGTCACCAACCCCTTTCCAGCTCGAACTTTTCGGAAATATAGATTTCACCATGTATCAGTCTTTTCAACATTTTCTACCCTCGATATTTAGTTAAAACTACAGTCACCATTTGCAGCCCGAAAGTATAAAGCCCGACAAGATAAAGACAGAAACTCTACCCTGTAGTCTACCGGTTCCCGTGGTACTAGATAGGATAGGTTCTCTGGTTCGACCCCTGGTGAAATCATTTTAAGAAAATGCCAATTAAACATTTGACACCACCAGTTTATAGTACATGCAGACTAAAGGTACTGGAGAGTAACCGCTGCTACCAATACCTGTAGGAGCCAAATGTATCCTCTGATTATCCTCAGATAATCTGTTACCACGGGTACGGGCAGAGAGGTTCCTTCGGATGTTATTTAAACCCACACTCGCGGGTAGAGAGTTGGTTAAAAGACTGATGTACCGAAAACTCTAAGCATTGGAAATGAGTTGGTGTCAAGTGTATACATACGGGATGAATGTAGGGTTAGCGTTCCTCACAATGAGTGTGTTAGATGATTGAAAAGTGTCCTGGATTGAATGATGATAGATGTACTGGTATCACCTAATTACAACGGAATTACAATCATATTAAAATGGGGGGATGTTTTATTAAGGTAACATGCCAGAGTAACCGCTGCTACCAATACTTCTAGGAGCCAAATGTATCCTCGGCCTTTTTTTGGAATGATTTAACCTGGGGTCGAACCAGAGACCATTATAATCTGTTAACACGGGTAATGGTGGCCCATAGGGGGTATGTTATTAAAATCCAAACTCGCCGGAAGATAGTTGGTTAAAAGACACTCAAAAGTCTAAGCATTGGAAATGAGTTGGTGTCAATTGTATATGATATGGGATGGATGTGGGGCTATGCGTTCCTCATAATTACTTTGTCGTATGCTAGTGATACCATTGAATTGTCCTTCCTTGTCCGGGTATGGTCGGGCTTTAAATAAGACATTCTTGTGACAAAGAAAGTGAATAACTGTGTATATCATGTTCTTGTGACAAATCCTTCTATGACCGGGTATGTTCAGGGTTTAAATAAGACTAACGTGGCAGGTGTTCAAGTAAAGCATTTCTTGTGGCAAATTCAGCTTAAAAGTAATGTTCGCAGATGATCTATGTAACTTATATTTTGACTTTCAAACCTCTAATATTATACTTGTGACATTAATGAACCATATAATCTATACGAGTCGGTCGGCCGCGATCAAAATATTATCCGATGCTACGTACATACAGTTAATTTTGATTTTAGATCTCTTCCCATAGAGATAAGTGATATTCAAGCACCGCATTAGATATTGTATAAACACCCTTGATATTCCAAAATGTAGTTAGAAAGATTCGAATATCATCTCGATAAAACATTTTCCGTTTTCAGGTCGTTAGTTTAGCCTTCCAAGTCATCGGCCACACCATACTTCATTTTGGAGCTTTCGTTAGAGATTCGATTACTTTGGTTCATATGAATAGTGACTTTCAGTTGTACAACTTCCTAGTTTGAATAAGAGATAAAATTTCCTAATCCAGGATATCAAAATTTGAGTCCCTTTATTATAGAGTTTCTTTTAAATAACTTTTACTCTATACAAAAATTTAAAATCTTTCTATTTAATAAGTTTAAATAAATTTGTATAAAAATTACTTTTAAAACACTTTAATGGGGATTAAAAGTCCTTTTGACCTTTAAACTTTAATTAAACCCACAGGTCAAACATCAATCTTTCATACTAATACAATATACATTCTTATGACAAATTTTTTTAAACATTTATGCAACAAAAATGTGTTAATTAATGTTGCCGCTTTAATGAGTCCCATCGATCAATGTCATGAAAGAAACTCAAATGAAGCAGAAATCTGGACACTATATGGACTAACTAAATAATTAAAATATTAATTAATTTCAAGCGCTTGACAAGCGTCACAAAAAAATCCGTAATTTTCCTGTTACGCTTAATTAAAATGAAAGAAAAGAAAAAGTGAAATGCAACAGTAAGATTTAGGGAAAACAATATTTGGGAAAATACGTGAAAATTTCACACATGCCTCAAACAGTTACGGTTAAGGCTAATATTACACCAAACATATCAAATAACGTGTGAGTAATAGGCGATTTAACATGTTCAGGCTGCATGGGCATCAAACCTATTGGTAATGTTATTAACATTAATGTTAAACACATGGTTTTATTTGGATTGTAAATTTAACAGTTTTTGGGGCAGCACTCTTAAATGTTAAAATCTTAACATAAGTTCCAATTGAAAAACATGTGAGAGTGGTAAAGTTTAAAAGAGAGAGAGCGTGAGCTAACATACCTGGTGATGAGTTTTAATAAAATGTAAACAAATAAACCAATTGGCCGCATGAATAAACATGCAAGCAAACATAAACAAAACAAATGCCAAAATAAACACACACGCACATGTATGTATGCCTGAACATGCAAATGTGGCTCCCAAATCTGTACATTGATTGTTTTGTTTTCCAAAGAGAGCCGAAAGAGAGCAAAAACAAAACCGAAACAACATCACAACAAATATGTGTGAGAGTGTGTGTGCCTGATTGTGGGGTTTTTCTGGTTTGCTATTGCCAACAACAATTGATTCCTTAGTGTTGAATTTTCTTTAGCATCAGTATTAATTGAGCTCTCGTTTGGTAAACATCATACGGTACGGGAGAGTCCATAACGGTAAAGTGCGTGAACAAGACAAAACAAACAAAATAACGGGATAGTTTACAAAAAAACGATGGCGTACGAGTGAAATGTTTGTGCAAAAACAACATTAAAGGAAGTTTTTTTGATTTTCTTTATAGTGCGTTCGGTTAGTTGTCAGTGTGCGAAAGCTTAACGGGTTTTACGGAAGTGTGGTGAATTTTACACATGCAAAATAGAAATTCAACATAGTGGAAGGAAAAAAGGCCAGAATAATAATAATAATAGTAAATAACAACAAAGAAAGTTTTCAAACCTAAAAGAAAAGTGTTGATTATAATTGCGTTAGTTTGATCAAAGCAGTATGATGATAAACTAACCAAAAGGGTACAAAGAGAGAAAGAGTGAGAAAGCAATAAAGAACGAAAGGATGCTGTCAAGTGTATGTGTGTGTTGAGCAGGAATTTAAGCTTGACTAATATTTTCAGTGTTTGTGAAAATTATTGTTAAAACAGAATAACGGCAGCAGCTGATGGTTAAGGACCATTATTAACGGATGCTGGCCGTCAAAAGAAATATACAATTTCTTCTTTTACTAACGTTTTCTATAACAAAAAATTCAATTAGAATTCAAGGTAGACTTTCAGACGTCTTTGCTAGCTTTTAAGCTAAATTGTACAACAAAAAAAACGTTTGTTTTACAAAATCATAGTGTTTGGGTGTTAAAAAGAAAATAAACTTCAGTTTTTGTTGTTGTGCTAACATGCATCTGTATTATGTTTTAACTTTGTTTGAGGCCTTTGCCGTCGTATGCAAATTGGTGTAAATTTTATTTTTACCGGTTTTACGTTGGTTAGCAAGTGTTTGTTTTGTAAAACTAAAAGAAAAAAAGTTTTCGAACTTGTGCATGTTTACAAAAACATCAAAGAAGGTGCTAAAGTGCAGCCATAACCGTGACATGAACATATAATTACCATCATAATCAGCTTATGGACTTTATCATTGAAATTTTTCTTTATGTTTTAAAAACAAAAATAAAAGGTGTTATATCTGTTATAAAAGCTCAACAAAGACATGCATAATCTTGTCTAGCTAGTTTCAAAAAGCAATTAAATTTGTTTCTCTACTAATAAATTACATATAAAAAGAATATCTTCACAGGCTTGAGAAAAATTTCTCAGCATAACGTTAAAAAAAGGCATATTTTTAAAACGTAATTAGTAATTACTAAACGTGTTTGCACATGCACGTGCGTGCTACAAATCTAAAATAAAAGAGTGTTAAAATTATAAAAACGTGTGTTTAAACTTGTTCATTAAATTATTAAAACCATTAAAGTGAAAAATGTATTTTCTTAAGCCTAACTTGTGGTTTGTGCGACTTTTAGTGCTTAGCTGTGCCAGCAGCTTGGTCTTGGCCAAGTCCTCCCTGTCCAGTGGCAATCACAATAATGATCCTTGCTATTTTGAGGGCAAACCACGTAAATGTTTGCCCAGTTTTGTAAATGCTGCCTATGGCAATCCAGTGCAAGCCTCCAGCACCTGTGGTACTCATCAGCCAGAGAGATATTGTGAACTGAAACGTGATGGTCTCATGGATGAGTGTCGCATGTGTGATAACTCTAGGCCCGATATGAAATTTCCACCACAATCTCTAACCGATTTAAATAATCCCAATAATGTCACCTGTTGGCGTTCGGCTACCGTGCCAGTACCCTCGGATCCAGATACTGCACCACCAGATAATGTCACCTTGACACTGTCGTTGGGCAAGAAATATGAGCTAACCTATGTGAGTTTATCATTCTGTCCCAAGTCTCCCAGACCGGATTCAATGGCCATATATAAAAGCTCTGATTATGGACAAACTTGGCAACCATTCCAGTTCTACAGTTCACAGTGTCAGAAATTCTATGGCCGTCCGGACAGAGCCAAAATAAGTAAATTCAATGAGCAAGAAGCTAGATGCATGAATTCTCATCATGATGGCAATACCAATCGTTTTGCTTTCAATACTCTAGAAGGCAGACCCTCGGCTAATGATTTGGATTCCTCTTTAGTGCTACAGGACTGGGTAACTGCCACCGATATACGAGTAGTTTTCCATCGTTTGGAATTACCCAAAGAATTGATTAATATACAATCAAAATTGGATAATAAACCAGATGCCAATAGTTTTAGTGATGAAATGGCCAGCAGCCAAGAAGATGATGAAGAAGATGAGGATATTACCGATGATGAATATGATTATAATCTTCATGACAATGATAGTGTACCCTATGAGGATGATTTGGAAGATTATGCAGAGCCTAAGAAACATTTGGAATTGGATGATGATTTGGATTTAGATTATGCCAATGATGGCATTAATATTATGGCTTTAAAACCTAAACGTCTTAATGCTTACAAACAAAAATCCATCAATTATGAAAAACACTATAAAAATAAAGCCGCCAATTTAAATATGGCCAGCAGTTCCTCTTCTTCTTCGACAACAACAACAACTTCCACTACTGCCCAACCTAGCACCACTAATAAAAATTCTTATACTTCCAACTCTAATAAAAATACACAAAAATCTTCTTCGTTAGACAAACCCACAGCGGTACCTTCAGTACGTGAGCTCTTGGCCAATTCACAACACTATGCTGTTTCAGATTTTGCTGTAGGTGGGCGTTGTAAATGCAATGGTCATGCCTCTGAATGTGTGGCTCATGTTAGTTCCAATGAAGCTAATCTCTTCAATAACGACGACGATGATGGCGGTGGCACTGGCTTAGGCAATTTGGGTGATTCCTCTGATGATGCAACAAATTTTGGTGCTCGTTCTTCATCTATTGTGTCAGCAGCAAATACTAACCTGGCCATAAATGCCAAATTAACAATGACATGTGCTTGTAAACACAATACAGCCGGACCGGAATGTGAAAGATGTAAACCCTTTTACTTTGATCGACCATGGGGACGTGCCACCGATACTGATGCCAATGAATGTAAAAGTAAGTTTTAAACAAATATTTTTCTTTTACTCTTTTCTTTTTTTTTTTTTGTTTACCCAACATCCGCCTCCGTTTCATAACCTTTGTTGTGTGTTATCAGTGTGATGTCATATACAGAGACACATCATAAAAATTGCAAAAATATGAACTGAATTCTGCCAACCAGCCATGGCTGTATTTCGGTTTGTTGGAGGAGTGTGATGATGATGATGATTTAAGTCAATATGTTTACATTTCATTTGTTTGCAATTGGATTTTTTTGTTTTCATTCGTTGCTTTTGTTTTTTGGTAGTTAGTTGATGTTTTATAGTTTGTTTGTTTATATAGGGGGGACTGCGTGCTTTTTTCTCCCTAGTTGTTGTTAAAGTCAATGAGGTTATTTGACAGATGGGTAATGAAATTTTGAAAGTTTTTGTTTTAACGTATACAGAGATGAAGTACATATATCTGGAATTCGCTGACATTAGCTGCTTATATAGTAGATATATGTGAAATTCAGCAAACGCCAAAAAATATTGTTTTAGTTTTTAAAAAGTTTTAGAAAATTTCTACAAATTTGCAAAGAATTCAAGAAATAATCATTTAACATTTTTTTCTTATAATATTTCATAATATTTGTGTTATTCTTTAAATATTATTAAGTAATTTTAAAATATTACCCAAACAAATGCAGTGACCTTCATTATGTAATAATTTTTCAGTGCCAACTGCATTTATCATTATCCATTTAACAAACATGATTTTAAACTCTTGACAGGATGTAAATTTATTACAAAATTTTCAAATCAATCATATGGTTTAAATAGATGATATTTACAGCTGGCGCTAAAATGACATAAATAATGTTAAAAAATTTCAGAATTGATTTGAAAATGTTTTAAATTTTGCTAGTTTTTAAAATTTACACTTAAGTAATTACATAATTGTAATAATTAATTTGCAAGAAATACGTAAGATTTCCAATAACAAACGTAAATGTTGATCATAAACGCTAAAACTTTGAGGAAATGTGTAAAAAAATTTAAGGTTCAAACTGATATGAAATTTTCGGTAAACACTTTATAATGAATTTAAACGGCTCTTTTAGTTAACAACTTTAAATTTTGTATACACCTGGCAGCCTTCCCAATTCGAGTTTGTTACGAAGAAGGAAAAAAAGTTTTTTTTTCTGAAAGATGTTTAAATGTTTATTAATCAATTAAAAAATGTTTAAAACACATATTAATTTTAAGGTGTTAGTTTAGGAGAATTCCTAGTATCACGATCTTTTATAACTCTTTGAAATCAAGCCATCGCGAATATTCCACGATTACTTCAAGCATCAGATAATAACTAATACATTTGCAAACTGTTAGTTTGTAGTTAGATTCTCCTGCTGCCAATACGACGATAAGAAATGTGTTTGTAGCGAACCACCAGATTTCTGGGAGTTTGAGAAATTGAAAAGTAAACCAGATCCAGAGCATATATACATTAAAGACGGATTTACAAATACTGACGAAAGTGAAAGGAATACAGGAAATTACAAGTAAGAAAATATAGTCGGGCGTGGCCGACCATATGATACCCTACACCAGTTATGAATATTAAATGTGATTTATTTTTCATAATAAAGCATTTATCTTGAATATTACCTTGAGTCCGATTTATTTAAGCAATTTATTGACGAAAAGCTAATTTTCTAAAAGAGGCTTTATATGGGGGATAGGAGCAAATGTGGACCGATCCCGATAAAATGGGCTGGATAGATTTGTATTTATATAATATTTGTCTGTGCTAAATTTCATTGCAATAACAGTGTTAATAAATGAATTGCGGATATTCAAGTCACTTTCTGAAGGGGGTTTTGTATGGGGGCTAGGGTCAAATGAAGTCCGATCATTTCAAAATTCGGCAAGGTCATCAAGGCTTGTATAAAACTTAGTTGTGCGAACTTTCATCGATATTATACATAATTATGAGCTCAAAAGCCCTTTTCGGGGGGTTCAGTTGTATGGGGGCTAGGTGAAATAATGGACCGATTTTAACCATTTTCAATAGGCTTTGTCCTTGGGCCAAATGTGTATTCCAAAATTCATTGAATTATCTTGAAAATTGCGACCTGTACTTTGATAACAACGTTTACGTTAAATCGACTAAGAAAGTGATTCTGAGTCGATCGCTATACTTTAAGGTGGGTATAGTACTAATATTTTAATGCGTTACAAACATCAGCACAAACGCACAATACCCTTCCCACTATAGTGGTGTAGCGTATAATAAGTATGTATATATTATAGGGCATGATCATCCAAGTGGTAGCCTAAACTAGTATGTTAAAAAAGTGGATTATTTTTAACAATAAACCACTTAAGTTGAACTTAATTCCGAAGATTTTTGACAAAAAAGTGATATTTTGAAAGAGAAATTTTCGTATACATGAAAGTTATATATGCAGAATTTCGACATACTTCAAGCCATTTTTGCAGTGGACTTTGTATGTGGGCTAGGATCAAATGAGGCCCGATTATTACAAAAATCGGCAGTAAAACTTAGACTTATATAAAACTAAGTTGTGCTGTTTTTGTGGAGATAGTAGTACATTAACAGAATCATTTGTTCCAAAGCACTATTCGGGGATTCGAAAAAAATGTTCTGATTTTATCCATAAAATCTTCGTCCCTAGATCAAAAGAAAGGTATATGCTAAATTTCAAACTATCTTGAAAATAATGACCTATAACGTGTGCACAAGGTGATTCAAAAAGTGACTCAAGTATATAGTCATAGGACCAAATATCAGCACAAATGTATAATACCCTTCCTATTAAAGTTGTGGAAAGGTATAATAAAGACTATAAGATCCAAGGCAATTGATAAAAGCAGTTTCAAGTGAGGGGGTGGTAATATGGGAGAGCATGACAAGCTTTTCAAGAAAAACAAAAAAGTGAAAAATTTTTAGCTAAACTATCCAGTTCAAAGCCTTACAAATGGGTTGCTAAGTAACCATTACTACTTCGTAGTTTATTGTTTATTATAGTTCTATTTTATACTACATACACAAGTATGAATATAAAGTTAATATTGTCTGCTTTATTCTTTCTTAATTTTCCTTATTGACCAATCCAGTTTAGTTTTACAAATTCTAAAATAACCAAATCTTTTAAAACCCTAAAATAAAATGAAGGAAATTTGTTAAACACAAACTAGGAAATATTTCTGTTCGTATGTATGGCAACATGTCCCCAAATATTATTCATAAACAACCGTACACATATTTCATTAATATGTCCAATTTTGTAGAACATTTTACTTAAGGCTAAATTTTCCAACTGGAAAAACGCATTAATAAACCAAAAACTTCAAAAAGAAAAACCCAGGAAAAAAATATACATATAAAAAGTTTTTCATTAAATAAATCTGGCTGTTAATTTAAAAATTACATTTACCTAAAAATGGTTAAAAATTTCGGTCTAAACTGCCATGTGTATTCGAAAATAAAATAAAAGAATATGGAGTATATTACATACATATATTTTCATTGTCAACATCGTCATCATCATCATCATTAAAAGCAATAGTAGTAGTAGCAGCAACAGCAGCAGCACAACCAACATTGTCATTTGGAATTGAAGTACTTCTGTAGTTTCATTTTAACTACGATTACATTTATGTATGTACATATATTGTTGGAGTACAATATTGTGCCCTTCAGCATTTACAATTTTACTCTTCAAAACAATTCTTTTAAAACTTCTTTTTTTATGTTTTTATATATTTTTTTTTATTCAGAATTTTTCAACATTTATATATTTTTTTTTTGTTTTTATGTAAAAACATGTATCACCCATGGCGAAAAGTGTGTCTGTTGTTTCACATCTCACTTCACTCACTTTACCATGATGTAGTTGAATCACTGGTGATTATGTCTGCTGTAGTGTTGTTGTTGTAATATTGTTGGAGGTGGTGGTGGTGGTAGTCGACAACAACAACTACTTTGGCAGGAATATAATAGCCAAAGCAGACCATTTAGTAGGAATTTCTGAAAAAAAAATCAGATTTACCAGACAGTTGTTTTCAGCCAGAGTCACCTAGAGACAGCAAGTGGTTTTGATTTTGGTTTTGTTTTTTTTCAATCAATTTCATTTTTTGCTTATTTATTGATCCGTCTATACATTCATTCATTTAACAATGTCAATTGTTTGTTATATTTTCATGAAACGGATATTAAATACAGAATTAACGGTTTATAAAAGAAATATTTTATTTATTTTGATACAGCTTTAAGTTTAAAGGACCAAATATTTATTACACTATTCTTTTTTTAAAGATCTATAATATCTATGGTCTTGAATATAGTCTAATTTAAAGTCTTGCATATAGTTTAGCATATAGCCTTGACAATAATAGTTTGCCATGATCTAGCCTTGACTATATTCTTGTTTTGACTATTGAATAGTTTATAAACTTGTCCATAGTATAGTCTAAAGTCTTGTCCATATTATAGTCTATAGTCTTGACTATAGTATAGTCTATAGTCTGGACTAAAGAATAGTCTATAGTCTGGACTAAAGAATAGTCTATAGTCTTGACTATAGTATAGTCTATAGTATTGACTATAGTATAGTCTATAGTATTGACTATAGTATAGTCTATAGTCTTGACTATACTATAGTCTATAGTCTCGACTATAGTGTAGTCAATAGTCTTGACTATAGTATAGTGTATAGTCTTGACTATAGTATAGTGTATAGTCTTGAATATAGTATAGTATATAGTCTTGACTATAGTATAGTATATAGTCTTGACTATTGAATAGTCTATAGTATAGCCTAAAGTATTGATCATAGTATACTCTATAATCTCATATATAGTCATATTAAAGTCTATATTCTTGACTATAGTATAGTGTATAGTCTTGACCATAGTATAGTATTGACCATAGTATAGTATTGACCATAGTATAGTCTATAGTCTTGACTGTTGAATAGTCTATAGTCTTGACTATAGTATAGTCCTTAGTCTTGACTATA